TACTGTTATTCTTTTTACTCATGGGAAACTGAGACACAGAGAGAAATACAGGATTTCTCCATAGCTTATAGCTGGATAGGGGTAGAGATGGGACTTGTGGCCTCTGTTTCTGCTCTGAAACATTTCACTTCCTGGCCTCCACGCGAGGAGAGAGGCAGGACTGGCCCTGTCCAACTGACCCCTTCCCATTTAATCATGCTCCTGGGTTCTGAGGATCAGGATCCTACCAGGACAAGGAGGGGTGGCTGGACACTGCTGGGCCACTGCTAGGAAGACTCCACAGAGGGGCTGAGAAACAGCAGGACAGGAGCCCCTGACAGACGGCTTCTCCCATGGAGGGTTTGGTGGGTGTCTGCCCACATTGTGGGTGGCAGGTGGGATGGGAGCACAGGGCTCTGGGTGAAGATGGAGATTGTGGGGGAGTAGGGGAGCCAGCCACACTTGGGGCTGAGTCCATGGTAGGATCTGGCAGCTAAAGAGGCTTAGGAATTCAGGGCCTGGATACCTTACCAGGAGCTTCCCCTCTAGGCCTTTCCCCACCCTTTCTGTGCACAAGCCAGGGTCCTGCAGTTCTGAGCTGGCTTCTGGTCCTAAAAGAGATGCTTTCTGCTCTGGTGGCTGTGGGTGGATTTGCTGTCATCCTCCTGGATCCTGTCCCCAGTGGAAGGCTTTTTACAGCATCAGGAGTGACTTTTCTACACTGAGCACTCCAGGAATGAAGCTGGCGTCTTTATCATCATCACTCTGCACAGTCCCAGCCACACAGTAGGTAATTTATGCATATTTACCAACTAACACACAAGACTGATGGATTTTAACAACTTGAAACTGAGCTTCAGTTTCCTCTTCTGTGAGGTAGCTTGCAGGGTTGCTGCTGGCTGGCAGGAGATAAAGGAAGGGAAAGCGGGCGCTCACAGGAGGAAGACACCACAGGTTACTAAGATCTAGGTTGAGAAGCCAAATCGAAGGGAATGAGACACTGTACATAAGGCTCCTGCCAATGTCTAGCACACAGTAGGTGTTGCTAAACATAAGACATTTTCATCATCCTCATTATTTTTATTGTTATTAGAATACACATTTCCAAGTCAGAAGGGTCATGTAGGATGAATCATACTTTCCGTAAGTGGAAACAGGCAACTGTGACCTTCATTACCTGGAGCCGAATGTCTTGGCAAGAGGTCATGTAGTGACTTTCCTGGGAAACTGGGCTCCAGTCCTCTAAGTCAGGTTCCCACTCTGCGCAGGAAGAGGCTGGGCACCTGGCATTTTCTACAGCTGAGGATACCATGGCAACAGTCCTGCGCAGTCAGAGAGGAAGCAGCCTCTCAGGACCCTCCAGGACAGCCACAGGCTCCCTGCTTCAGAATGTTATCAGCCAGTCCGCTGCTGGGTCCCTGGTGGAGCAGCTCCCTCTGGTGGCAGAATGTGATGACTCCACGCGACAACAACGCAGCAGCACAGGGCTGGGAAGCTGCCAGGGCCCGAGTACGGCTCAGCCGGAATGGAGTGCAGGAGGGGCAGGAGCCAGCTGGCAGAGACGCCTCCCTCTGGGGGCCTCTCTGCTCTCTCTCATTTTAATAGTATCCAGAACAGCCATAATGACCCAAGGAGCCTTGGGCCTCTCCCTGACTGTCCTCTTCAGCTATGTGAGCCCAGACATTTGGGAGCTTCTCTGAATTCTCCAAGCTTGACTCGAAGGAGGCCAGGCGTGGTGGTGCACGCCTGTAATCCCAGCACTCGGGAGGCTGAGGCAGGAGGATCATTGAGAGTTCGGGACTAGCCTGGGCTACAAAGTGAGTTCAAGGCCAGCCTGAACTGCATAGGAAGACCCTGTCTCAAAACGACCAAAAAAAAAAAAAAAAAAGAGAGAGAGAAAGAAAAGAAAATGACCACCTGACAGTGGAGGTCTCCTTCCCAGGAAGGCGGGAGAGGATGGGTGGGAAAGGAGGAGCTGGCAGAGGGATTGTCTGCCATCAAGGAGTACAGGGCTCCTAGGGCCCTGAGGAAAATCTGTCTTTGTCCTCATCTGGGGATAGAAAACCAGGCCTCCCCTGATACCTCACTGCCCAAGGCAGTTGTAGCAAACCTATGGCATATGTGCCTCAGCAGGCTGTATCGCTGAAAGCTCTAACAGGTTCACCATCGCTGGCCCAAGGAAAAGAACTTGGCTAGGAAATAGTAGGACTACAAATCTCCACTGTTATCTTGGTGTTTTAGAATTCTGGGTTTGGGGATTCCAGAACCCTAGAATTTGGATCTTGGCAGAAAACTCAATATAGAAATACGTGCACATGTGTGTGTATACATATATTGAACCAGGTTGTAGAGTTTCTGAGTCAGAATCAGAATTGTGTAATAGTTTAGTTAGTTCCCCTTATAAGTAGGCAATCAGAGCAGCCTAAGACAGAGTCAGCTGGATAATAGAAAATAGCACACACCAAGTGCAGAACTACTTCAAGTGATGCTAACCTTAGAAATGCAAAGGCAAACACAGGAAGGAGAATAACAGGATGAGGGAGCAGGGAAGGACCCCTCTCGGGAAGAAGCTATCTATGCAGTGCGCTAAGTCAGTGGACAGCTCCTCCCTACTGCCAAACTGGACTTCCAGAAACATTAAAAATGCAAAATAACTGGTTTTGTGTAAATTCAGTCCACAGTTGCTGAGTGGCTGACTTTGCTCGTGCTCTGCTTATTCATATGAGAGCAGGACGAAGCAGACAATCTGAAATTCCATTTTCACAACTCTCCTATAGACAGGAGCTATTTCCTTTCTTATTTCAATACTCTCCTAGCTTCCTCTTTTTGTCTCCAATTTTATTCTTCAAATTTGTGAAATAAATGGGCTTGATTTGTGCAGAATTAACTATTTCAGCAGCAGCCCTCAAATCTGACCCCAGCACTCCAGGGCTGAAGTAATCCAAGAGATGCCCTGGGCCGGCCAAGCTTCTCTTGGAAGGATCAAGTTTGCTTTCACTGTCTGGGTCTCAATTTGCTCACCATTAGTAGTCTGGGGTGGGGCCCTGGATGTGAATTATTTTTTTAAAGACCCCAGAGTGTGCTGCTGGGCCTCCCAGGTGTGGGAAATCCATTTCATCCAGCTTTGCCTTCTCGTCATCTGTCCAACGGGGAAACTGAGGCCCAGAAAGGGAAAATCATTGGTCTGGATCCCTCTCCTGGCAGGTGGGAAGTTGGGACTCACCTGTGCCTTCCAGGGCTGAGGCCATCTACCAACAGCCCAGGGTGTTCCCACGGCTCCATGGGACAGTCCGCCTCCTAGGGCACCTGGCCCCTCAGACAAGCCACACTGAGCACCAGTGGGCCCCTGGAGCCACTTGCGTGATTCAAGAGGTGGAGGTGCGGGGAGGGTGCAGTGCTGCCCTCTTCTGCCTCTGGCTGAGTCTCACTCCTGAAGAGGCGGAAGAAGTGAGGCCCATCTCTTTTCAGCCCCCTAGCTGAAACCCAGCTCGTTCTGCAATCCCCGAACCCACTCTGAGAGCATTCCAGTGGAAACCAGCCCACATGGTTTAGCCTCTGCTACTCCAAACGCCTCAGCATCATGGTTTTGTAACACCCTTTTGACGCCCAAGACGCATTTGCAAGTTTCTTGTTTCTTTTCCCTTTATTTAAAAAAAAGTTCTGGGCTTAAAAAACCCATAGAGCATTTCAGAGGCACAAACTTTTGCTGAAGAAAAGCTGGTGGCCTGGCCAAGCAAAGAGGGCTCCAGCTATCCTTGGGGAGCTGGTGGGAAAGGACAAGGGCGGGCCTCGGTGGGCCAGGGAGCAGTGCTGGGAACCTCTACTTGAAAGGTGGAGGCTGAGTGCAAGGGTCACTGCCTTGGGGTAGGGGAGGTGATTTTCCACCAAATGGGGTGTCACCCCAGTCCTGAGCCACCTCTGTCCTCAACCAGCCCTCAGGCCCTCAGGGCTCAGACTCCCTTCTGCTGCCCATTCCTGCTTTTGGGTGCTGAGCTCAGCTACAAATTCCACAGGGCGCCTCCCCCGGGCACAGGAGGAAGGGCCCCTGGGAGGTGGAATGGCAGGCCAGGTGGTGAGAACAAACTATGGATTAGTTTGATCTCAGCTGCAAACCTCCCAGGGTCCTTCCTGCCTGGGGATCAGGGGTCGCAGCAAAACACAAGCTCTCAGGTGTTGGGGTTGGATCAGGTGAGTGCCCCCCGTCTTTCATCCCCTCCTAGAGAGCCCCTCGCAATTTCCTCTCAGCTAGGATGTGCTGAGCCCGGCAGCCACCAAGCGAGAGCCCAGCAAGTGACCCCTTGTGTGACCTTGGCTAGTCCCTTCCTCCCAGGCCTTGATTTCACCTCAGGTAAAACGGGCAGGAGGTGTCAGTGGAGAAGGGGGTGGCTTGGCAGCCTCAGTGGCTTCTCCTGTGATGACCCATTTGTTCCCCAGGGTGAGAGCCCCACCTGAAACAGCATTAAGCTCCCCAAGTTTGGGAGTTTCCCAAGGTCAGCTTGGGAAGATGGGGTGCAGAATGTAAGAGGGAGGCAGGTAGGGGAGGCTGGGGGAAAAGGGGCTGGCAGGACTGGGGCCCCACTATGGCTCCCCCACTGCCCACTGGGGAAAGGTGTCCAGACTAGGCCCCAGGAGGCCGCCAAACCTCTTCCTAGGTGGCTCCTGGGGAGCCCCTGGGGACTGGGCATAGGACAAAGGGCTCAGAGGTGAGTTCAGGGATCTGGGGACTCGCCCTGCTGTTCCTGGGCCACCCCTTGTGAAACCTTCTTTACAAGGGTAGGGTCAGAAACAATCAGGGAAGATGCACGGAAAGATGTTTGCTTGTTTGCTTTCTTTAGGGAGCAGAGCTAGCCAGCAGGGAGGCACAGGCTCGAGGTCTCTCTCTTACTGTGTGTCGGGGAGACAGAGAGATAATTGAGAGGGAGACAGACAAGGTGAAAAACAGAAAGAACAGGAGGAACGATAAAGAAAGGCAGACAGGTAAAGGTAAAGAGGAAAAAGAGGAAGCAGAGAAGGAAGGGGAAAGCAGGGAGAAAGGAGAGGAGAATGGAGAGGAAGGAAATAAAATATAGGAGGAAAAAATGAAATGTCAGTTGACACAGAAGAGAAGGTAGGGGGTAAAAAGAAAAGCACAAGTAGAAAAAGGGAGGGAAGGAGTTGATGGGGGCAACTGCAGTGAGCAAGGGGCAGGGACAGAACAGAGTGTGGTCACTGTAGGCCAGGTTGGCTCGGCTTCCTGTCAGGCCTGCGCTCCAGCTGCCTGTCCTTGCGTTGTCGCCGGTCCTTCCGACCCTTCTTCTGGCGGACATTTCTCTCTGCAAGGGGACCAAAAGGCCTTGGTTGTGGGGCTGCAGGGCTGCAGAGGTCCTGGGTGGCTCCTCAGCCCTAAAGGACCCACACACCCACAGAGGCCCCAGAAGAACACAGGGCTCTGGCCTCACCATCAGCCTGTGTTAGACTGTGGGCTGCAGGCACGGTGCCCCCACTGAGGCTTTCTCTGTGGTTCTTTAGGGGCAGGGAGGGCAACACGATGCTCTGCGTTGTACCTGCCAGGCCTGAGGCTCACCGGGTCCCCAGTCAGGACTTGGGGTGGTCGCATTGAGGGTTCTTGACCCTCCGTGTGCACTCACCACCATTGCAGGCTCTGCCCCCAGAAGCAGGACAACAACAGTACTTAGCATTTAGCTGCCACCCACCGCAGCCCAGACACCCAAAGGCTTTAGTGATGTGACACTCTCGGCAGCCCCTGCCTGCATCTGGCAGGCATGGAGGGAGCTCGGA